AGACTGAGGTTCAGAGATGCCCATGAAATCACTGACGATCACACAACCAACAAGGATGGGAACCTGAGCTGGGAACTTGCCAGAAACTTCTGCACTCCCTAACACTGTTTAGGAAGGGATGTAGATGGCAAGCTAAGTGTGAGCCTGACTCAGCGCAAGAAGTGATCTCTGGGCTGAGAGCTGTGGCTGAGGCAGGGGGACTGCCATGGGTTCAAGGACCACATGGGCCACAGGAAGAAAAGGAGGAGAGGAAGGAATGGAGGAGAACACTGCAGGATGAGTGACTTTCTCACATGTAGTTTGCATGTATCTAACTGCAGCATACTATCAATATGTAACGGAAAACTGGAGAGGTAAAGAGGCAAGAGGGTCTCTGTGAGTTCGAGGCCAGCTAGGGCCACAAAGTGAGAATACATACATACATACATACATACATACATACATACATACATAGGTAAAAAGAACATATTGGGGGCAGGAGAAATGTGCAGTGGTTAAGAGCATTTACTCTTTCTTCAGAGGACCAACTTCAGTCTCCAGAGCCCACAATTACCTGTAACTCCAGCTCCAGGGGATGCGGTGCCCTCCTTTAATACCAGAACATACATGACATATACACACAGTAACACACGTACAAATTAAAATAAAAAAAAACTGTAATTCACTCTTATGTTAATGTACATTAGCATTTTGCCTGCTTGTGGTTCTGTCTGAGGGTGTCATATTCTCTGGAACAGGAGTTACAGACAGCTGTGAGCCATCTCATGGGTGCTGGGAATTGAACCTGGATCCTCGGGAAGAACAGTCAGTACTTTTTACCTCTGAGACATCTCTCCAGCCCCCTTTGTTTTGTTTTGTGAGACAGGGTCTCACTATGTAGTCCTGGCTGGCTTCGAACTCACTATATAGACCAGGCTGGCCTCCCACTCAGAGATCCAGCTGCCTCTGCCTCCTGAGTGCTGGGATCAAAGGCAAGTGCCACCATGCCTGGAACGTTTGAAGAAAACAAATCAACACCTTATTTTTAAAATGGGCAAGAAGTTGGAGTCAACCTTCTCCAATGTACACATACAAGGTGTGGCCATTACCATTAGTTATTAAGGAAATGAAATACAAACCACAATGGGAGGCTGTGCCATACCCTCTAAGAAGGCTGTAATTAACAGGAGAGATAAGGCCTGAGGATGTACCGTGGTTTGTAGAAAAACAAGGCTCCCAGGTTGAGAGAGAAACCTTGCCTCAAAGGAATAGACAGAGGGTCAGTGGACACAGGACACTCTCTTCTGGTGTCATCCAGCAGCACAGGTACTCACACACTCGGACACACTTGCACACATAACCACACAGACACGTGCACACATAGAAAGAAATAATCTGTGACATCTGCTTAAAGAAACTGCCTTTGGGGGCTGGAGAGATGGCTCAGTGGTTAGGAGAACTGGCTGCTCTTCTTGAGGATCTGAGTTCAACTCCCAGAACCCACATGGCAGCTCACAACCATCTGTAACTCCAGTCCTACGAGATCCAAATCCCTCTTCTGGTCTCCCCAAGAACCTGGCATGAACACTGTGCACAGACATACATGCAGGCCATATACTCACAGACATAAAAATAAAAATTAAAAAAAGAGAGAAAGGAAGGAAGGAAGGAAGGAACTTCCCTTTGGCACAGGGTCTGACTACATAGCCCAGACTCAGATTTTCAAGCTTCCTGTCTCAAAACCAAACAACAGCTGGTCCCAGGGGTGCATATAATTTCCACTTGCATACTTTGGTAGAATTCAGACTAGGAGCCACACCTAACTGGCAGGTCATTTGGGAAATACTGTTTTAACTCTGATTGGCAGTGCAGCTAGTAAAAACAGCAATTATTCTGGAAGATGGGAAGGCCAGAGAACATCATAGAATATAATGTGTGTGCTGCTGGGATCCTTCACAACATCTTCCAAGCACCGGCAGCTCAGAGTAGTGCTGGAATGCAGGCTTAGGGCTTTGGTAGTGTTTGCCTAGCATATAGAAAGTTCTGAGTTCAATCCCAGCCCCGATTAAACCAGGCATGGTGGTGCATATCTATAATCTTAGCACTCATTTATAGAGGCAGGAGCTTGAGAAGATTAAGAACATCCTTGGTATGTTGTGAGTTAGAGGCTACCCTGGGGTACATGAGACCCTGTCATTCATATATATATATATATCTAGGAGATGGTGGACATACCCCTTAATCCCAGAACCCCAGAGGCAGAGACAGATGTATCTCTGTGAGTTCCAGGCCAGCCTGGTCTACAGAGCTGTTGTGGAATATTTGCACACTGTGTGAAGATATGCTGTGTTGTGTTATTGGTGTAACAAATAGCTGGACAGCCAATAGCTAGAAGGAGGTACAGGCAGGGAGCCTCAATTGAGAAAATTCCCCCATCAGACTGGTCTGCGGGCAAGCATTTGGGGAATCTTCTTCGTTGATGACCAGTGTGGGAGGGCTCAGGCCAGGCGCCACCCCTGAGCGTGTGGTCCTGAATGGTATAAGAAGGCAGGCTGGGAATGCCATAAGGACAAGCCAGGACACAGGGTTTCTCCATGGCCCCGACTTCAGTTCCTGCCCTGACTTGGGGCTTTGACTTCCAGGACTGTGTGAACATTTTTTTTTTTTTTTCTGTTAAGCTTAGCCTTTAACGGCTGAGCCATGTCCAGCCCAGGAGGACACATTTTAATGTCGTGTGTCAGTGGGTCTCAAGCTTCCGCCGAATGACCCCTGAAATACAGTGCCCCATGTTGTGGTGACCCCCAACCATACAATTGTTTTCATTACAAATTGTAATGCAAATATCTGATGTGACCCCAAAGGGGGTGGAGGCCCTCGTGTTGAGAGCCACTGTCACATGTAGTAATTCTTGCATTATGGGCTGCAGTTCAAATCAACGTCAACTACATCTTTCCTTCTCTCTGTCTCTGCTCTGTGTCAGTTTTATTCCCTTCTGCTCTAGACACATTTTCTTTCCTAAAATGAGAGCAGATTTGGGAGATGGCCACAGGCAGCATCCACAAAAATAAAGAATTCTCCCACCACAGCCTCTCTCTCCTTCTCTCCCTCAAAAGAAGGTTTTCTGATCCAGAAGCTCCAGATCCAAAAACCCAGGGAAGGGCTCTCACGGGTTCAGCCTACATCCTGTTCTGGATAGGCCATCATTACTCCAAATCAATCACGGTGTCGAGGAGGCGATGCACAAGAGAATGTCAGCCCGTGGCGCACATCCCAGCACTTGGGAGGCAAGCAGATATGACTTTGAGGCTTGCCTGATCTACAGAGTGAACAGGGCAGCCAGAGCTACACAAGAGAACTCCTGTCTCAGAAGAGGAGAGAGCAGGAAGGAGAGAGAGAATAGAATGTCCGCTCAAACGAGGGAATTGTACAGTAGTTAGGTGTACAATACTATATACTGTCTTGGAATTCACACTGTAGACCAGGCTGGCCTCGAACTCATAGAGATCTACCTGCCTCTGCCTCTGCCTCCCGAGTGCTGGGATTAAAGGCGTGCGCCACCACGCCCAGCTAATACAGTAGTCTTAGTTGCCCTTAGTATCAGTTCTTTCTCTTCCCAAGTCCTGAATCCTAAAATAAGAAGTGAGTCTAGAGGATCAGAGAATGACTTAGTGTGGTGTCCCCAGCCCAGCCAAGTACCAAATCTCTGCATACGGCGATGCCAAACGTTTTTTAAATGAGTGAATGAAGAGCAGGTTCTGCATCCAGAGATCGTTCTGGGTACAGATCCTGAGAAATCAAGAGTCAAGTGGAGACTCCTACATACTGCTCTAGTGCACCCGTTTAGATTCACATTTGTTTGTTTACGTTTATGTAGCGTGCATACGGAGGTCAGAGGGCAACTACTTGTGGGAGTCTGTTTACCCTTCCACCCTGCGAGTCCTCAGGGTCGAGCTCAGACCGCGGCCCTTGAGTCAGTCATCCCAGAATACTGTACGGGTAGAGAGAGGGTGGAACCTTCAGGAGACTGACCGAACCTACAAGACGCGGCCACTGCGATGAGCCGGGCCAGGCGCGCGGCTCCCAGGCCCCAAGGGTTTGGATTAAACCATCTTGCTCAAGGGGAGAGGGAAGGAAGTCCTGCGTCTTTCTCCAGCCCCTTGGCGACTTCCAAGCCGCAGAGACAAGGCACTTGCGTCTCTAACACCCATACCGTTTCCGTCTTCGCCTCTTAGTGCCCCTCATAGCCACACACAGCTCGTGCAGCCTCCCCCTACACACACACACCCATACACACACACACACACCCATACATACACACACCCATACACACACACACACCCATACACACACACACCCATACACACACACACCCATACACACACACATACACCCATACACACACACCCATACACACACACACCCATACACACACACATACACACACACACACCCATACACACACACACATACATACACACAACACAGCTCGTGCAGCCTCCCCCTACACACACACACATTCACACACACACCCATACACACACACCCATACACACACACCCATACACACATACACACACACACCCATACACACATACACACATACACCCATACACACACACACACACACACACAAACACGCACACACACACACACCCGCGCCCCGCGCAGTGGCTCGCCCCAGTTTTTGACGCATTGCAGGGAAGGCCGGACCAATCGGAGCTGCGTTCTCATTTCCGCCCCCGAGGCGGGTCCAATAGCGGCGTGGCTCACAGAGGGACGCGCGGCGCTCTCCGCCGACCGGTGCCCCTCCGCCGAAAGTAGTCCTCGAGGCCGGGAGCGCGCGCGCGCGCGGCCCCGGCGCCAAGCCTCGGTGAAAGGGGCGGGCTGCGCGGCCCCGGCGCGGAGGGATCCGGAGGCAGCCGCAGTGCCGCGGGGGCGCGCGCGCGGGCGGGGCGGGGCCGGGCGGGGCGGGGCGCGCGGCTGCCGTTGAGGGACCGTTGGGGCGGGCGGACGGGCCGGCGGGCGGGCGGGCGGACGGGCGGCGGCGGCGGCGGCGCGCGCTGCGGGTAAAGAGTGTGGAGGCGCGGACGCGCGGCGGAGCTCGAGCTGCTGCAGCTGCTGCCGCCGCCAGAGTAACCTCGAGCTCCGGACACCCGGCGCCTCGCCATGGTGAGTGAGGCGGCCGAGCTTGGGAGGGGACCCCCCCACACACACACACCCCGAGATGGCGAGGCAGGCACAGGCCGGGCCCCTCGGGATCTCCCAAGCGGCCCTTGAGACTTCGAGAAGCTACTTTACCGTAATCAGGTTGAACTGGTGGGACGCCCCCTCCTCCCCCAAACAGACAATCTGAGGCATGGGGAGCACTGGGACACCCCACCACCACCCCCAAAGCAGCATTCGGATCCATCACGGGGACGATTGGTGTCAGAATCGCGTCCTTACCCCGACCCCGGGAGGAGAAAATAGGAAACACCGGCGATGCAGGTTTTGGTTCCTGGGAGGATGAGGGAGGCTCTTCTTGGAGGGGTGGCCGTGGGTAGCGGAGCCTGAGTGGGAGAGAAGGGGGATGCCCATCGGTTCCTAGGGGGTGTTCTGCAGAGGAGAGGCTAGATGGGGTCCGGGGTCGCGTCTGCACACTAGACCCCGGTGGGGGAGGGGTCTTTGAGGACGAGCATCGCCGAGGAGCAGGGTCAGGTGCAGGCTGAGGCGAGGAGCCCCAGGTGGGTGGCAGCAGAGGTTAAAGGATGCTTTTGGAGCCTGCGGGGACCCAGAAGGAAGAGCGAGGAGGATTTGAGTCCTAGAGGTGTTTTAAAGGAATCGGGATGTGATCATGGGCCGTGGGGGAACCGGGGAGCCTTGTGGAGAACTTGGCTAGGAAAGATTCTGGGGTTAGGGCTGTTTCACTAGGAAGAGAGATTGAAGGGAGGGATGGTGAGGCGTGTCTTGTTTGGGCCGGTGAAGAAACGGGTTTCCAAGGTGAGGGATGGGGGAGGACTTGAGTTTGGGTGGTGGGGGTGAGATTGGACAGGCTTCTCGGGGAGTGATGGAGGAGACAATGAATGGTAAACTGGGGTAGGCCTGGCTTTGGAGGTGAGTGTCCCCGGGGAAAGGTCCCTGCACAAAGGCTGATGAGTCTGGGTTGGTAATGGGCTACCGCATCGGATCTGAGGGACGCTGTGAGGGCCCCTTTCCCTGGGAAGAATGGGGCTAGGCCAGGCTGAAGGCACCACGGCAGTACCAGCAGGTGGGCGGAGCTGTTCCTGTCCTTACTGCAGGAAATGGGAGTGGGGTCAGAGTTTGGGATGCACCAGATGAGCTAGTGTGCTGAAGCCAGGAACCCTAGGCCCCTTCGCTGTCCCTTTCAAGCCAGGAGAGCGCCTTGCTCCTCCAGTTCCATGCCCTTGTTGCTCCTTGCTGTGACAAATGACAGTGCAGTACAGTGTGGTGTCGGTGACAGAAGCCTGGTCCCATCCCCTGAGGGTGGGGGCTGAGCACTTCTCCGGAGAAGACCTCCAAGGGACCCTCCCGTTGGTTTTTAAAGGCCTCTTCCCCAGCTCCCCACAGCTAGAGCTTCTAGAGGCAAGACTGCTGAGTACTTCTCCCTGGTCCTGCCACCCACAACCCCCCCAACCCCCCAGGCTCAGCCTGAGAACCGTGTGCACCACCCTCCCTGGCAAAGCTGGGGAGGACAGGCAGCCGCCACCATGTATCGAATCTCATACTGCTGACACAGACTCTTGACACCACCCATTTTCCTTGCCAAAGGGGCCCGGCAGCTTGGGCAGCTGCCAGCAGCCCCCACTCCCCACCCCCAAGGAGGGTCCCAGCTTTGTCCCTGACCAGTTTTTCTGTTTGTAATCAGCAAGGTATGGGAGGGAAGAGTCCCTGTAACTGGCCTTGGACTTCGGCCTGAGCTCTGTGGCTCCTCATTGGCCCGGGTGAGGGGCCCTGGCCTTGGTTTCTCAGCTCACTTAAGGCAGTTTTCTGGCACCTGCTGGGGCCAGGGGCAAGGCAGAGAAATAATCCCCTCTTCCCTCCCCTCCTCATGCTGCTTTTCCTCGTCCAGCCCCTCTCTGGAGCCTGATATGACTAGCCGGGTTATTCTACAGTGAAAGCTAACAATCTGGGCTGGGAAAGGCCTCCAGCAATAGTCAGCCTGACTTCTTGGGCCATTAGTTTTCCAGGCCAGCAGCCCTGCCTTGATATCTGTGGCCTCTCCTTGATGGAGCAGGGGAAAGGGCTCCCGGATGTCAGGGAGTGTCTGACAGGCCCTCCACAGAGCCAGAGCCACGCCTGTTTGCAGCAACCCTGACAGTGCCTCCCCTGCAGCTTCCATAGCGGCCTCCAGAGCCACCCTTGCCATTCCGCCACCCTTGCCATTCCGCCACCTGGTTGGCCTTGCCCCACCCCCCTTTTAGTGTCTCCAAAGGGAGAAGAGAGCAGGGCTCCTTGCAGACAGTGCCCTGTGATGGGAAGGTCCCTGAGGGGGCTGGCTTTTCCCATACTAGGCTCATGGAAGAGAATGAAAAGCAGCTGGGCTCTGTAGCTGTCCTCTCCGTCCTCCCCGCTGCTCCTCAGTGCTCCCTCCTCCCCTCCCCCAGCCCAGGCTGGCCTCCAAAACCAGAAGCCCACTCTCTTCTCACTTCTGGGAGCAGCCAGCAGCAGTGTCCTCAGGTGTCAGAGCCAAGGGGTGGGCCCAGGCGCCTTCTCCCGCCCTCGCCCGCAGCTCAGGAGGGCAGTTAGAACGAGGGCTGGTTGCCCCCGGCCACCCGGTCAGGGTTAGGAAGCCCACCACTGTGAGTCACTTGCTAGCTGTGCAGAAGAGTATCCATTTGGCCTTTGCTGTGGATACCTTCCTTCTCTTCCTATCCTCCTCTGCAGGCCTGTCCCCATCTCCTTAATTCTCCAGTATTTCACGGCCAGGGCTTGATGTCAAGACCCTCTTCCTCAAGATCCAACAGGACCCAGATGTGTATCATCTATGATTATGGAGGAGGGCAGAGTCAAGGGTTAAGGGCAGGCAGTGGTTTTTGACCCCTGATGGAAGCTCCAGAGCCTTAGTGAACCATGGGCGTGCCTGCCATAGTTCACTTCCGTTCCAAGGGCCAGGACCCTGCTGTGCCCTTGGTACCCCTTGGAAAAGGAAAGGAAGCATCATGGACTACAGTGGCCCAAGGATGGTGGAAATTTCGGCAGGATTCATACACCAGATAAAGAAAGTTGGCCTTATAACTGTTCAAAGTTGGGATCCAGCCCCCATATCGCTCCTCCCTCTAGGACCTCCACACCCCAAATAACCAGGGCTCCAGTGAAGGAAGAGCTGAGTGCTTTATCTCCTCCACACAACCCTAGGTATGGGGGGGGGGCTGTCTGCCATGGCTGGGCAGGCCTCAAGTAGCCCGGACTGAAAAGGGTTAAAAACTGCAGCACCAAATCAGGAAGGCAGACTTCTTTGCCACCATGGCTGCCTGCTGCTTGCCCAAAAGTAACAGAACAGAATGGGGCCCTGCACCTACCCTGCGCATGGCTTGGCATGACGGGGTAGGGCAGACCCCCCCGACCAGGGTTCTTTCAAGCCCTGCAGCAGCTTGGAGACACCAGTTAAAAAGGAGATGTTGCAACTTACAGTCTAGCTGCCTGGGCCTGGTGCCCCCAAATAGGTGATGGGAGAAACTAGCAAAGATACCCCAGATAGCCTCCTTCCTCCCTAGTCAAGGACCGGCCTGTTTTGCTTTGGAGTCTTCTAGAGCACTTGATGAGGCCTCTAGGGCAGCTGCTTCTTGCCTCAGCCTTTGGGGCTCCGGGAACGAAAGTTTGGCACAGCGTGTACCCGGCCAGGTTGGGCTTGGGCAGCCCTGCTCCCGGGGCTGAGGGGCTCCCTCACCCGCCTGTGGTTACAGCCCGTCCTGTCTCCTGACCCACGTGTGTGCATCCTGACTGCCGCAGGCCCTCCCCTCACCCGGCAGGGGCACCTTAGGAAACTGGCCTCAGCAGGGGGGGCCACATGCCGGGCGGGGCAGCGGGTGGGTAGCCCAGTGACTTCCTCTCCTTGCTCCTTTTCCAGGCTGACCAGCTGACAGAAGAGCAGATTGCAGGTGAGTGTGCCACTCTCCGAAGCTGGATCTTAGCTAGCCCCTGCCTGATGAAATGTGTGTCCAGGTCACCTATGCCAGCCTGTACCTAGGATGTTGGTGGATGTGCTCAGCGGGGCGCTGCCACAGTCCTCAGTCAGGCTGTGGGGGCTGTCTCTCCTCCGCAGACAGCTCACTGGGGCCTTGAAGTGAACCTCTGCAGGACCCACCCAGGTGGCCCTCCCAGTTCTGACTAGCCGACTGACGCGGTGTACCAAGCCTGCCTTGCGGTGGGCCGGCCGCTCTCTGGCTCCCTTTTCCCTCTTCCAGCCCTGTCTTTGGGCAGTGGAGCTTCCCAGACCCCACCTGGAGCAGGCTGCCCCTCTGTCTCCATCACTGCCTGCCTGTGTGGTACAGGCCTGACGGCCGGCCGGGCCGGGCCTGGCCATAGCTGTTCTGTTTTCTTTTCCTGTTGTTGCCTGGCACCAGGATCAGTTCCTAGAGCACAGGACTTGGTTTTGTTGGTTGTTGCCATATCCTCAATGCCTGGGGCATACGAGGCACCCCATAAATTCTTCATGCATAAACAGTAATCGTGTGCTTCCCGTAAGCTAAAGGAAATCCCCAGACCCCATGCCATTTATTTTGTGACTTCTCCCAACGCCAGCCCCGGGAGGGGAGGGAAGACCAGCCGTAGGACTGTCTCCGTGTTTCTGCCCCTCCACAGCCTGAGGCAATTCCTGGGATAGCGCCTACCCTCAGGTTGCTGCAAAGCTGACCAGAGGCCAAAGTGAGAGGAAAGGTCTCTGTCCCCAGCTTTGCTGGCTCTGTGACCTGCTTTCTCAGAGTCACACTGCGGCCCTGAGCCAGTAGACACAACCAAGGAAAGCCAAAAGATTAGACTTATTGTTTATTGGTCAGGAGCTCATGGGTCATGTGACCCACTCTGTACTGCCTGCCCCCCCCCCCCCAGCCAGGCCTCAGCACAGGGAGATGACAGCATCCCCCAGGAGACTTGCATTATTTCCGCAGAGCCCGGAAGCTCAGGTCACAGCTCCCAGCAGTGTGTGTCCCTCCCACCCTACCTGGTAACATAAGCACAACTCACTTTTCACCCTGAGCCCATTAGCAAAATGTCCACCACTCCCGCCCCCGCCCCCGCCCACACCCTCTTGAGAACAGGCTGCCAGGCATCTGTTCTCAGAGGCTTTGAGGGTGGGGAGCTCTGGGTGCCAAAGTGGGCCCAGGGGGAGGGCAGGAGCCACATGCTTCTCCCCTCTCCTGATGCGGTCAGTCCCAGCTGTGGCCTTCCCTCTCAGCACCACACTCCTCACCCTCCTGGCTTGGCAGCCACCCCCCTTTGCCTCCCATCCCCTCAGCCCTGCACACTGCCCATCAGGCAAGCCCTGCAGCAGATCACCCCTACTCACTCATCAACACCCCCACAGCCTTGACTCCTCCTCTGGAGGCTGGTAGCACCCACGGCTGGGGACTGGGCTGGCGGTGCTCAACAGAAGGAATTTGATGCCACGTTTTTCTTTGAGGTTGGCCAAAAGCCTCTGCAGCCTCCCCTTCCCCCCTGCCAGGTGGTTGGCCTTGGCTAGTAAACTTCAAATGGAGAATCGTTTTGCCTCCTACCCAGCCCACCATCACTTTGGTCCAGTGCATCATTTGAGAGAGAGGCCAAAGCCAGGGTCTAAGAAGAAATAGAGGTCTATCAGGACAGCTGTCAGGTCAGATCACTCGGCTAGATGGGCTGAGGAGACAGACAGCTCGGTGCTGAGGAAGGGGGGGGTGTGAAAGAAAGCAGGAAGGAGGTTCACTGAGGAGAGGGGCCCTAGCCCGAGGCCTGGCCCTGCGTCTTCCTCCTCCACCTGGAAATAGGTGACTCTAAACGTTCTGGCTCCTGGCATATTTCTTTCCTTCCCCAGAGTTCAAGGAAGCCTTCTCCCTCTTCGACAAGGATGGAGATGGCACCATCACCACCAAGGAGCTGGGGACTGTGATGAGATCTCTGGGCCAGAACCCGACTGAGGCTGAACTGCAGGACATGATCAATGAGGTGGATGCTGATGGTGAGCTCCCGACGCCAAGCCCACCCACGCTGCTCACTCGGGACTGTTACCCCTACAGGGCCCGAGGTAATGCCTGCCTCCCTCCCCTCCTCCCCTCTTCAGGGAATGGGACCATTGACTTCCCAGAGTTCCTGACCATGATGGCCAGGAAGATGAAGGACACCGACAGTGAGGAGGAGATCCGAGAGGCTTTCCGTGTCTTTGACAAGGTAAGCAGTCCTGCTCAAAGCCCTAGACGACGCCAGCCAGCAAAGCCAGAGCCCCTCCGTGCTTCCAGAGCCCCCTCGCCCAGCATGCGGGGGAGGCACTGAACAATCCCTGCCCACCTCAGCTCTCCAAGCAGGGGACCCTGAGTGACAAGCCTTTGTCCCCAAACCCCAGGACGGGAATGGCTATATCAGTGCTGCCGAGCTGCGCCACGTCATGACGAATCTAGGGGAGAAGCTGACAGATGAAGAAGTGGATGAGATGATCCGAGAGGCTGACATTGATGGAGATGGCCAGGTCAATTATGAAGGTGAGTTGTGTTGGGCAGGTCCTCCACGCCCTGGAGCTGGGGGGACTGTGGGGGCTCGGCTTGTGATGCATCAACTCTGTCTCTTTTGGCAGAGTTTGTACAGATGATGACTGCAAAGTGAAGGCCGGGCAGCTGGCCATGCCCGTTCTCCTGATCTCCTCTCTTGCTCTCCTCTCTCCGACAATCCCCTGCGTACCCGGTTCTAGCAAACACCAATTGATTGACTGAGAATCTGATAAAGCAACAAAAGATTTGTCCCAAGCTGCATGGCTGCCCTTTCCCTCCCTCCTGACCCTCTATGCCCCTCATCGCTTCCTTTGGCCTCCCCTCTCCCATTCCCGTTTTCCAGGCCTGATGCACTCATACGTTGAACCCCATTGCCCTGGGGAGCCTCTGCCCTCCTCCTCCCCCTCTCCCCCCTCCTCCTCTGGCCCAGATCGCTCTCCTCCGCTTTTGGTTTGTGTCCCTGTTTGCCCTTCTTAGGGTGCTGGGGTGGCCACCAGTCCTGTCCCTACCCTGTGGGGAGGGGAGCGAGGCCTTTGCCAAGTGGAGGAGCATGTCCTCTGCCATAGTTGCATGTGCCCCAGCCCTGATTCTGTGTGCAAACCCAGCAGCCTGTAGGGTGGGGTGTCGAGGGGGTGTTCCAGGACTGGGAGTCGAGGAAGTGTGGCAGTGGCTGATGTGACCCAGGGTGGGGGTGGGGAAGGGGCAGGAAGGCCTTGGGAGGTAACATGCTTTCACTACCGGAGGGGGACGGACAGAGCACTGGGGTCTCCTGGCGCTGTTCTGAAGCCATCGGGTTGGCTTTCTGAGGTCAGGCTGGGCGGGGCTGTCGTTGGCCATGCTGCCCATCCTCATCCCTCCAGCGATCTCGCCTGTCCTGTAAATACCTGGTGCTAACATCCCATGCCGCTCCCCCATGGCGCCCCCAGCCACCTGCCCAGTCCAGGGCTGCTCCAAGAATGATGTGGGGTTGGTCGCTGTGTAATGTGCTGGTGGTCTTCTTTTCTTCCCCTTTCTGCCCCTTAAAACTTTGATTTTTGTCCCGAACATGCCGGGCCAACTAAAGGGTGGGGAGAGGGTAGACAAGCCCACCATGCTCACAAGAACCAACCTGCAATAAACACTCCTGTGGGCCGCCGCGCAGAGCACGCAGCGGGCACCCCCTGCCCCTCTGTGGTGACTTGGCATTGCTTTTTGCCCGCCTCTGCCCTCGCCCTGCCTGCCCCACTTCCCAGCAGAGAGCATGATCCGCGCCCTTGCTTCTGACTCTAGCCTCTGGGACATGTCAGTCAACGTGGGCAGTTCAGTCTGGGTTCGTTTCCTTTCTCTGTTCTCATCTGGCCCCCAGGGCAATCACGTTGCTTTTGCTGGGACCTGCCCAGCTTTGAGACTCTTCTCCATCCCTTGGCAGCAGCCTTGAGGGAGGGAGGGACAGGGCATATCGGGAGACCCAGCCAAGAGCTGAGGGCAAGGGCAGGTAGGCGCGAGGCTGTGGACTTTGCGGAATGTTTCGGTTTTGGTTTTGGTTTTTATTTTTTTATTTTGTTTTTTAAAAACCGGGCAATATTGTGTTCAGTTCAAGCTGTGAAGAAAAATATATATCAATGTTTTCCAATAAAATACAGTGACTACCTGTCTGGACTCTTCCATCTGTCCTCAGCCTTCTCTGTGGACAGGGCGCCCAGGGCAAGGTTCTGCCCTGGCCTGCAGTCTGGGTCTGTGTGTGTGAGGACTGCAAATAAAGTCCACCGTCAAGAGAGCGCCCAGAGGCACCTGACCAAATGGGAAGGGAGGGTACTGCAGCCAAAGGGAACCATGGAAACTGTGAGGGGCTGTAAAAACAGCACAGCTGGGTGAAACAGAGGGAGATGAGGGCCATCACGGGTAGGCCTCACTGGTGGCCCCCAGCTGAGCCAGGGCAGCACTGACAGCTTGAGTAATAGCAGGCGTGCACCAAGGGGATTGAACTTGAGCGGTTGTGACCCAACCCTGGGACAGGCCAGTCACCCTGAGTTCAAGACCAGCCTGGGCTTCAGAGAGACTCGGTCTCAAACACACAAAAAAAAAACCGGAATGGTTGCAAAGCACAGGGGCTCACTGACTTCCTGTACTTTGTGTAGAGAGTGTCCCCGGCCACTGGGGCTGCAGCAGAGGGCTGTGTGTGACTGTGCATGGGAGAGCCCCCAGCAGCAGACCCCCTCTCCCCCCACCTGATTTCAAGGACTGGGCTTTCCTAGAGGCTACTCTCATGGGGGTCAGAGGTGGCTCAACAGATAAAAGCCTGCCAGCCCAAGGTCGGTGCCTTGAAGCCATCTAAAAAGCCAGATGCCGGGCACACATCTGTAGTCCCAGCACTCCTGTGGTGAGATCAGAGTCTGCACAGACTGCCTCAGAGAAGGTTAAGAACCCACTGACCACTTGCAGGACAGCATGTACACACCTGCACTCCTACAAGATGGATGAGGCCACTTGGGCCACACCCTGCTTAGTGACTTCTTCCCTGGGCCTCAGTTTACTAAAATGGAGAATCATTCCTGAAATATTAAAAAATAACATCCAGGTCGTGCCACCCCGAGCTGGAATCCCCAGCCTGCTTGTGCGCATGTCCTGGCTTAGCTGCAGACAGGAGGCCTAAGCAGGTAAAGCCTGCTTGGCTTTCACCTCTGCTACTCACTGGTTTCCAGATGCGGAGCACTTAGCCACAGCACCCCACCGCCACCGTGGACCCTCACCAGTTGTTTGAGAAGACTTACTACTCCAGACAGGCCACACTATTAAATAAGTCACTCAGCCCTTTCTCATTCTTTACAAACTGAAGAAGACGTGCGTGCGCCACGCTCAGCTTCCAACAGTCCCAGGGCAAACACCAAGAAAGCGCCTGTGGGGGGAGTCGTGGCCATGTCAGTCCCCCAGATCTATGCCAACCGGGACCTGGCCTGAGACAGGAGCCAAGGAGGAGGCGCCAAGCAGAGTCTCCTCACTTCCCGCAGAGTTGAACAAGCTGAAGCCACTTGTGCTGTTCTCGGTGTGACCAGCAGATGGAGCCATGAGGACAGAAGGCTTGCTGCTCAGGGCCTCAGGACTGGTGTATGTTAGCTGTTGTGTTACTTTAACAGTTGTATTTAGCTTGTTTAGCAACCCAGGAAGCCCTCAGCCACCACTGTCTGGCCCTGCACCCCAGCATGACTGGTGATGTTCCTAACGAGTGTGTGTTCTCTTTATAATACAACCGTAACCATTAACTGCCAGTAACTCAATGGTGTCTGCCTTCACAGCCTTCTCCATCCACCATGCACCTAGAAAGTTCTAACTTTTGTTCTCCGGGACCTTTACTCATTAACCCCATAGGTTCTGGGACACCATATAGAATTACACCCATAGGGTCACAGCCACTTTCTTCAACCTGTTGTGTTTAACTTTGCTTTTCTGTGCTGGGGATGGAACCCATGGTCATGAGCATGGGAAGCAAGCCACATTCCCAGAACTTAGCTGTGTGTTACTTTTTAAAATTATTTAGGTATGTATTTATTGGGGTTTTTTGTTTGTTTTTGAGACTGTCCTTGAACTTGCTCTGTATATCAGTCTAGCCTCAAACTCACGAAGATCCGCCTGCCTCTCCCAAGTGCTGGGATTAAAGGTGTGTGTCACCACCACCTTGCTACATTGTATTTTCTTTAATTTGGTTTGGTTGGGTCTCATGTAGCATAGGCTAGCCTGGAACTTGCTGTGCACCTGAAGATGACCTTGAACCCCTGATGCTCTTGCCACCACCTTGAGTACTGGGATTACAAGTCTGCACCGCCACCCCCAGCTTCTTTACCAGCTGAGCCACACCCCCAGTCTGCCTTTGATTTCCTTGAGACAGGGTCTTGTTATGTAACCTGGGCTAGCCTGACTTCAGGCAATCCTGCCTCTGCCTTCCAAGAGCAGAAATGAAAGGTCAGATGCCCAGCATATGTGTGTGAGTGTGTGTGTGTGTGTGTGTGTGCGTGTGTGCGTGCATGCGTGTCAATCCAGTGCTAGGAAGAAGGAGAGGGGTGGAGAGATGGTTCAACAGGTCAAGGTGCTTGCCACCAATCCCGAGTTCGATTCCCAGAACCGACATGGTGGCGAGAGAACTGGCCCCTGGAAGCTGTCTCTGACCTCTGAGACACTGCAGCACACACACACACACACACACACACACACACACACACACACATACACACACACATACACAGTGAAAAAGACTGGTAATGAAATGAATAGAGAAGCTGTATAACTAATAAAGTCAAAAGACATGGGAGTTGGAAGGGGTTAATTGGGAAGACAGGCCAGCAGAGGGGAGGGAGGAGAATGACAGGGGGTTATGGGGTAAACTGACCGCAGTACATCGCACATGTATGGAATGGCGACAGAGCCACTCCCAACAGGTGCCTGGGTCTTTTTTCCCTACATCCATATCTCATGTTTTATCTGTCCACAGCACAACTTGTAATTTGGTGCTTGAGACGCTTCCCGTAACACATACTGATGTGATTATTCAGTTGTCCCTCCCACCGGACTCTGAGCAAAGTAGGGCCAAGGCTATATCCATTTTGCTCCATCAGACACCGAGTAGCCTCTGGCTCACAGAGGGCTCAAGGGAAAGTATGATGAATTAGTAACACATGAGAGGCCTGAGAAACCAGTGAGGCATTGGACCTCAGAGTTAGAACTTAAAACAACAGAGACACTCCCTGCTACTCGGCTGGATTGCTTCCTAAAGCCTTAGCTCGGTGCAGCCACTGCCTCCAAGAAGCCCTCGGTGGTGTCCCTATGCCCTTACCGAGCCCTTGAACACAGGGCTGTCTCCCCACTGAACAGTGAGCCCCAGGAGGACAGAGCCAGGGTTGTGTGTCTGTCATTGGCATGTCCCCAACATCACAAGGGACTAGCCCAGGTGGGTGAGAGGGTAGACATAGGTATATTCTGGCAGACTGCTATCAGGGGACTGAAAGGCATTACAATGAGCAGAAGGAGGAGGCAAAGTGTAAGTATGACCTTTGTTCCATTTTCTAGGGTGCTAGGGGTTGACACCCGAGGCTCACACTTGTGAAATGCATGCTCCACCCTGAGCAGGAAAGCCCCTGCCTCCACCCTGGTACTGAAGATTGCAAATAGAGCCCAGGGCCCCAACTAGACAATCGATGACCACTGAACCGCATTTTATTAAGCCAGAGCTGTCCTCACACGCTCCATTGCTGGATAGACCTGGACCTCCTAACCACCCTCCTTCCTCTCCTTGCAAAGCAGAGATGACAGGAGTATGCCACCATGCTCTGCTCCTTTGTTTTTGAGCCCTGCCTTCCAGTGTAGTTTAGATCAGCATCCACCTCCCCAGCACCGAGACTAGAGGTGTAAGCCTCCTCGCCCAGGAGAAGACAGGGTTTCTCTGTAACAGACCTAGCTGTCCTGGAAGTCACTTTGTAGACCAAGCTGGCCTCGAACTCACCGAGATCAGCCTGTCTCTGCCTCCCAAATGCTGGGATTAAGGGCATGTGCCGCCACCACCACCACCAGCAGCCAGCTGACTTTCTATTAATAATTTCAACTAATATACTACTATCCTGATGGGATTGATATGAAGCTAGGCATGGTGACAGCTTAGGAGGGAGGTAGAAGGATCAGGAATCCAAGGTTACCCTCTGCTGCATGGCAGCAGTTCCAGACTAGCCTGGGCTTCATGAGAACCTGTCTATACTTTTTAAAAGTATCCTGGGATGATGGTTCAGTGCATAAAAGCTGCAGTGGAACAATCAGGTCCAGATCCCAGCACCCACAAAGCAAACTGGATGTCCCAAAGCACCTGTAACTCCAGCTCCAAGGAAGCCAGTGCCCTCCTCTGGCTTCTGGATATGCAAATGTACAAATGCACATTTAATGTACATGCATGTGGGCTCGTTCTCTCTCTCTCTCACACACACACACACATACACACACACGTCAAAGAAAACATGAACGTTTCTAGAAGCTGTCACTATTTTTCAGTATTACATTTTTATTATGTTAAAATACCCGTAAACAAAAATTATCATTTTAATCATTTACCACTCACAGCCAATTATAGATTCATCCATATTTAGGCCATTTACGCTGTCAGGATTGTTTACATACTGTACCTTCCAGTACTTACAGGCTGGTCACCTCAACCTGGTTTGTCTTAAGATTTTGTTTGTCGTTTGTTTGGTTTTGGTTTTTCAAGGAGGCAGGCTTTCTCTGTGTAACAGTCCTGGCTGTCCTGGAACTCAACTCTGTAGACCAGGCTGGCCTCGAACTCATATAGGTCCTCCTGCCTCCCAAGTGCCAGGGTTAAAGGTGAGCACCACCACTGCCTGACTTGTTTTATGATTTTATCTGCTGTTATTTGGTTTTGGAGACTGAGTCTCAAATACCCGAGGCTGACCTTGAACAATCTATGTAGTACCTGACGATGACCTTGAACTGGACCATTCTGCCTGAGTACAAGCATGCTGAGGTTGCAGGCGTGCACCTCTGTGCCCAGCTTACCTGAGCCTGTTTTTGCCTCTCCTGACACTCCTTGCTCTTCCTGAATGTGATCTGAAATATATTGGCAGCAACTTCCTTCCAGGTCCTGTGCTCTTGTTTTTTTTTTTTTTGTTTTTTGTTTTTTGTTTTTTGTTTTTTGGGGGAGGGGGGTCATGCAATCTTTGTAGAACCCCTGTCAGTTAATAGTGGAAAGGAAACCAAAGTTCAGAGAGGCCATGAGAAGACAATAGATACAGACTACTCCACATTGTCGCTGTGTGACCTGGGCTGGGGAATTGGCCTCTCTGGGCCTTATTCCCATCCCCTCTGGAATGGCTCCATTAATAGGCTGCCAAGCAGATGGAGTGGGAGGGTGAATGAGCGACCAGGGTAGCTGAGAGAGAAATGGGAACCAGGGCAGCAACGAGGAGCATTTCTGTTTGCCCTCCCTCCCCTAGCCCAGCCCTCCAGCTGACTCACTTCCCTTCATATCAGTCAACTCATTCCCAAGCACCCTGGCGTCTTTGCTTGGAGGCCCGGGAGAGTCAGCTCTTGCTTGCTGACTTCAGGGTCCCCTAGGAGTTTGTTGGATGAATGAGTGAGATCTTTGTGGACGGTCTGAAGACGATGAGTTGGGGTCCAGTTCTAAGAGGAGACACTTGTTTGTTCCAGGATGGCAGGAGGCAGGCTTGGGACGTGGACCATCTCTGGCTTGTCCCCCGCACCCTCCCCCAAAGTTCACATAGCACATTTCTTCCAAGTTGTGGTGTTTCTATTTCTGTGCCAGATACGCGTCTAGGAATGTCACCTACAGTACAATGGCCTTCCCTTCTTCCCACTTCCTTTTGAGGTTCAGGACCCCCAAGTCACATAGGGGATGGGAAATGGCAGAGGGAAGGAACATTTCTGAGAGAGGTTGCTGGAATAGCTTGGGAGAGGGCATGGCTGTGTGCCCCCTTGGGACCCGGGGTGGACATCCAGGGACCCCCTTAGTGCTTAGTGGAAGTGGAGAGCAGTCAAACCCAGCAGACTGGAGTCCACAGAAGCCACTGGACATTTTTCTGCTCCCTAAATATTTAGACAGTGAGATAAATGGGGATCTCAGGGCCAGAGCAGCCTGGCCAGGCCCTGGTTATTTTGAGAGAATCCCTCTCAAGAGCCACAGAACATGTCCCCTGCATCCTTCACCCTCTTCCCAGAGTCTGTAGCCACTGTCCCCAAGGAGGAAAACAGCAGCAGACATTCCCAGACTTTAGGGTTCAAATACGTGGCTCCCACCATCATCTGTTGAGTCCCTGATCTTCTGGCTTCTGGTCCTGTGACACCGGACCCAGGATGGCATGCAGGACCCGCTTAGATGTCAGCAGAGGGAGCAAGCAGCCATGGCCTCTCTTTTGGATGGCACAGCAGTCAATGGTGCCACCTGCCCAGTGCCCCAGGATGCCAGGGGCACCCAGTTCCCTTCCTTAGCCTGGAGAGCCGTGGGGGCCAACGGCTCTCTTCTCCCGGATGCAGGCTGGGAAAGGGGCGTCTGTAAGTCCCCGTGCACAGAACGGGTACACAAACAACACAGCCAGAGCTTGAGGCGTTGGAAGACAGCCTTTCGGAAAAGGATGAAGACCCAGGGGTCCAGGATGGGGTTGAAGGCGTTGAAGCGGAAGGCAAGGAGGTCTCCCATCTCACTGCTGTCCGGGGCAATGGCCTGGGTGAAGCCTCGGATCTGAGGGGCAGGGAGATGCATCATGGGTTTGTCCTCCCCCATCCCTGTAACCCACCTCCCACTTCTTGCCCACAGGGATGAGGAGTTGTGGCATGTTGGAGGGGAAGGAAATGAGATAAGATGAAGAAAGATGTAGCCTGAGTTGCTAACATGTGCATGCATCCGGAGATCAGGGGACACAAAAACCCCCAGGAAGCAGGTAACAGCCGGCAGAAGGAAGACGGGGCTGGGGCAAAGGGTGCCCATCTACCAGACCCGCCCTTTTCAGCTGAGGCGGACCTCCCCCAACCCCCACAGATGCCTAAGCCCCGCAGGGCTCCCAAAACCTCATGCAAAGCCACCTGTGGGGATGGGTTCAGCAGTCACTGTTAACCCTCAAAAGGTTTCAACACCCCCAGTCCATCCTGATCCCGATCGGGCGCAGCCGGCTACTGTAGTGGGAGGGATAGTACAAGGTCCCTGTGGGGCGCAGTGAGAGCCGAGCCGGAGGCTGAAAGGGTGGGGTCTGGGCTCAGGGAGTGGCCCCCCGTGGCTGTGTGATTATATGAGAGAGCTGTGTGATTATATAGAGATACGGTTTGAGCGACCGTGGGCCACGCACTATCATCCTCTTGTAAAAGACGATGACAGCACAGGACCTTGGTGCCATTTCCTGCCCGATGCTTCTGAAATAATTGTGTAAGGTCAATTTGAAATTTGTCTGAAGAGGCATTTGGAAGCCGTTAAGAAGGGTTGTGTCGGCAGAAAGCAAGTCAAGTGTTCATGGATTGTGTGGATCCTGTTATCACCACAATGACTGGAAACCTAAAGGCTGGGGTGGGGGGAGGTCAGTGGAGCAAAAGAAAATGGAGAGACTTCTTGGGTAGCCAGGAGTTATTGGATGGTACACAAAAGTCACCATCTCACCCTTCTGGAGCCTCAGTTTCCACATCTGCCAAATGGGCATGATAGATGAAGAGCAGAGCTGGGCGTTGCCCTGGTCTCCTCCTCCCCCACCTCGGCAGCACCTCAGTTCCAAGAGACACTCACCGTGAGCGGCAGGGAGCACACAGCCATGACGCTCGTCATGAGGGCCAGCAGAATCAGATGGTCGACCTCGTCCTCCCGTGCCCGAGAGGTCGGTACCAGTGAGCCATGGTGGCGTCTCTGTTGGCGGTACATGCGGCAGAGGCTGAGCGTGACAGAGCCGTTGCAGAAGAAGATGGACGTCACCAGGAGGGCCACAAGGCTGGCGTAGGCCAGGGAGAAGGCGCAGCCACCAGGCTGTGTGCAGCGCATGCGGATGAAGCACCAGCTCCCAGGGCAGTACTGCTGGTGTCCCCCCAGGCCCATCAGGGGCAGCGAGCAGAAGAGACAGCAGAAGGCATAGATGGCAGGCAGGGCCACGCGGGCGCAGCGCGGTGCGTCCAGCTGGGCGTACAGGTAGGGGTGACTGAGTGCCAGGCATCGCTCCACGGCCATGGCAAAGAGGATGAGCGTGGAGGCCAGGCCGAAGAAAGTCATGGCAAAGGCGAAAGTATCGCACAGGGCTGAGCCTCCGTGGGCCAGGCCCAGCAGGGAGCTGTTGCGCGCATAGGCCACGAACACCGCAGGGCTCAAGAAGCACGTGCCCAGAAGGTCTGTTGCTGCCAGCCCAGTGACCAGCACTGCAAAGGCCGATGGGTGTGACTTCCTTCTCGCACCCAGGATGCCCAGCGCCAGCCCGTTGCCCACCACACCGGCCACGAACATCAGGGTGCTGGTGGCAGGTCCCACCGAGTCTCGCACGTAGGTGAGGTTCCGGCAAGAATCTGCCATGCCCCGCCACTGTCCGACACCTGCAGTGACAGGGCTCCCAGGGGTGGCAGGAGCAGGGCTGGCACCAGGGTGGCTACTGCCGGCCACAGCCGTCACAGCAGCCAGCGTCTGCCAGTCGACCCCCCAGTTTCCCAGGGGCTTTTCGGGCCTTCGGTTTCCGTCTTCTCTAGTTGTCGGCCACTCTCCTCTGTCTTCCCTTCTGGCTGTCTGTCCTTGCTTCTGGCTGTCCCTTCGCTTGTCGCTTGTCCACTATCCCCGGTCCCCCCCGCCCCTCTACATTTTCTTGGCCCACTTCTTCACATTTCTGCTTCCTGGACCCTCGGGCACCTCTGCCTTCTCCCTGTCGCTCCTGTCCCTCAGGCTCCTGTCTGCGGGTCTGTGTCGATCTCTGTCAGCTTCTCCCTCCTAGTGCCCGCCCTCCTCCTCATCTTGCCTGCTGCCCCAGCTTTTTTCATTTCCTCTGCGCCCCACCCTCCTCCCCCTGTGCTGGTCTCCAGAGGCCCCCTGGGCTCCCTGCCTGCTTTCCCTGGCTTGTACCCCATCCCCTGCTTTGAACACCCAACCCTCGCCTCCTCGCCTCTGCCTCTCCCCCTCCGTCCCCTCCTCACACAGTCCCCGGCACAGTCACCTGCTGCTACCCCCCCCCCCACACACACACTCAGCGTCTGCTGTTTTTCACACCCTCAGCATCTCTAGCCTCCCTTTCTCTCTCTCTCTCTCTCTACACACACACACACACACACACACACATTTCCGTGTGTCCCTCTCTGTGTGTACCCAAGTCCCTGTTCGTGTCGCCCAGGTTGAGAGCCCCCACGGCCGCCAGGCAAGCTCTACTTCACACAGCCTGAGCTGTCTGTGAGTAGCCCGTGAGAGCTATTCTGGGCTTCAGGCCCTGGGGTTAGAGCCCGGCCCTGGGATTGAGAAATGATCAGGAAATTCCTCCATGATGCAGTGTTTTCCAGACATCACAGAGAGCCCTGGTCCCTGGACGCAATTCACTCCTTCCAGGAGTTAAGGAAGGAGGCCACCTGGGCCCCTAGCTTAGGCTCCCTGAGTCCGGAGTCCGTTCGCAGTCTCCGGCTTACAGGAGACCCACCATTTGGTGACCCAGCATTAAAGAGTGACCTCTTGCTTCTCAACACAGCACTTTCAGGCCCCAGGCCAAGGCTGATGAATGGCCATCCCAGGCTCCAGCACTGCCCCCCCCCGACACACACACACACACACACACACACACACACACACACACACACACGAGGCTGCCGCTCACCCTCCCTCAGTATAGCCCGGATGGCATCTCCCTCAGGCCAGTGTGTCAGCGCAGCTGTCAGAACAGTGGTCATTCGACCTTCGCACTGACTACAATTCCTGTTATCTCACTGCTGAGGAGGGCCAGAGGGGACCTCGGAGACCCCCAGTCACCCTTTGTGGCTTTTTTTTTTTTTGAAACGGGATTTCTCTATGTAGCTTTGACTGTCCTGGAACTTGATTTGTAGACCAGGCTGGCCTCAAACTCACAGATTTCCGCTTGCCTCTGCCTCCAGAGTGCTAGGATTAAAGGCGTGCACCACCACCACCTGGCACTCTGTGGCTTTTTTTTTTTTTTTTTTTTTAATCTGTTCTTGATGCTGTTCTGCTCTATTTTTGAGACAGGATCTCATGTGGCTTAGTCTGGCCTCTAATTTTCTATGTGACAAAAGAAATCTTAATTTTTTTAAAGATGCATGTATGTGTCTGTGTGTGTGTGTGTGTGTGTGTGTGTGTGTGTGTGTGTGTGTTTATGTGTGGGTGCACCCCTGCCACACACAGGGCACATGTAGAAGTCAGAGGATAGCGTGCAGGACTGTTTTCTCTCTCTGCCTTGTGGGTCCTGGGGATCAAACTCAGGTCTTCTGCTGAACAGCAAGCCCAGATTTGTCTTTTTTGTTTTTTATTTTTTTGTCCTTGTTCCTTTATGGGAGGCAAGTTCTCTCTGTGTAGCCCAGGATGGCCTCAAACTCGAAAGATTCTCTTGCCTCAGTCCAGAGGATGCTAGCATTAAAATCCTGTGCCCCGCCCACCCGGTGTGACGCCCTTACTTTTCACGGAGACAGTTTCAGTGAAGAGGTTTTTTACATCCATTTGACTTTCATTTCTGTACCAATGTGAGCACCTGCCTCCTGATGCATGATGGTGTCGGGCAAGGGCTGAAGGCAGGTTTACTCCAGTCTCCTCCTTCAGGCATGTGGCTGAGTGTGGTCAGTCCCCCCCCCCCCCACACACACCCAGGCCTGCCTTGCAGCAGGGAAAAGGCCTGTTCAGAAATGTTGCATGTTCAGGGCAAGAGTGTTCCTGACACCAGGCTGGACTCCAGGCAGCCCTGTGTTCCCACCCCCATGACCGCATCTTCCTATCACCCATGGCCAGCTGCCACCCAGCTGGCATCCCTAGTTTCCGACAGGATGGGTCCCCAGTTCCAGCCGCTCTGGGGATCCCCAAAGGACCACCCAGCTCTGCTCTTGTGGAGGGGGAAGGCGGAGTGGAGAGCCTGAGGGGGACAGGCAAGCCTGAGGCCATGTGGTCCCTGTCACAGCCTCTGGTTCCCAGGAAGACCAGAGGGAAGTCAGGAAGTCATATCTTATTAATGAGGGATGGTGCCTGGCAGGCTTGGCGCCCTGTCTTGGCATCAGGGGTGTTTCTAGGAGGAGGTGGGACCTCCATTTCCTGGAGCTCTGATCATCTGCTGATTTCCTGTCCCCATCACCACCACTTAGCGTTTGGGAAGTCCCCTGGCTGCTACGCTCAGGGACCTGGGACAATCCCCTGCACCCTCCTAGGCCATCATACACTTCTAGGAGCCAAACCCCTGTGGATGCCAACCACTGCTCTAGGTGTTGCTGCCCTGCTCGGGGCGTGGTGCTTGTGCCCCGGAGATCCTAAGTATGGGAACAAGGATCAGAAAAGTTCAAGGTCATCTCTACCAGCAAATACAGAGCATCCCAAGGCAGCCTGGGCTACACAAGACCCTGTCTCAAAAGGTCAGAGAACAAAAAGAAGCAGGTAGGGCTTAGCAGTGACCACCGCTCTCTCCTGACCAGGGGACCCTGGGATCTATGCAAGGTTACCCATGGTTCTGTGTACCTCACCGCCTAGTGTGAGGGGTGGGCCATCTGTACCCTCACACGGTTCCTGAGCACAGTCGGTGGTGGGAGCTGCCCTGGGAGAGAGAGTGACTCAGCAGATTGCTTTCAACCCACCACAGGCAGGAGGACTCAACCTCCCCAAGGGACCCCAAGGCTCTTCAGAAGAGGAAGGACAGGCCAGACACCACAGAGGATGGGGACTGACTCAGAGACGGTTCCCAGAGGTGAGGGAAATGGGGGTCAGAGAGAGGAGGATGGGAGCTGGGAGCTTGGCATGTGACATTGCAGATTAAGGTGTGTGTGTGTGATGTGTGTAACACTGTACAGCTTTCATGGGTGTCTTCTCTAGCTCCTCAGTGGCCAGGTCCTTAGCTGCCTACTTTCTGTGAGGTGGGTGTAGAGCAGGCCCATAGGGCTCACAGGTGGGGGTGTGCATAGATATGGACAGACGGGTGTACATAGGAATGGCCAGGTGTACAGAGATATAATTTGCCCCCTAGAAATAAGTGTATTCATTTTATGTGAATGACTATTTGCTCACACGTATGTCTATGCACCCAGCGCCCAGTGAGGTCAGAAGCAAATGTTGGATCTCTTGGAAATAGAGTTATGGACAGTTTGAGCCACCATGTGGGTGCTGGGAATTAAACCCCCAGGTTCTCGTAGAGTGCTCTTATTCAAGGAGCTCTCTCTCAAGCTCCATGGATATATTTTTGCTTCTGTGTACCGTGCATGGATAGGCAAGTGTTTCTGCAATGTGTGAGGATGTGGGTACCGCCAGTTCATAGGTATATCTGCAGCCATGTATCAACACGTCTGAGATCACAGTGTCTGTTGTTGTTTTTGGTTTGTTTGGTTTTTTGAGACAGGGTTTCTCTGTGTATGCCTGCTTCCCTGGAATTCACCCCGTAGACCAGACTGGCCTCGAACTCACAGAGATCCACCTGCCTCTGTCTCCGGAGTGCTGGGATTACAGGTTAATTTCTATATCTTATTTACTGAGTGTATGTATATTCTTGCTCGCGTACCAAGGCATACTGAAGTCCGGCGACAGTTTGTAGGCTGGTTCTTTCATTCCATCGTGTGAGTCCTTGGAACTGAACTCAGGTCCTCAGGCTTGGCGGCAGGTACCTTTCCAAAGTGAGCCATCTCACCAGGCCCTATCACTCACCACTCATTGTGTGATCTTAGGAAAAGGCTTCCCCTGTTCAACAAACATCCCAGCCATGGGGAATCGTGTAAAATATGAACCTTAATCCTGCCTGCTTTACAGATAGCTGCTGGAGCTATTATTCACTCAACAGACCTAACAATCACTGTGTACCAAAGGCCGGAGGGGACATAGAGAGCTCAGGAGACGCCACACAATAAGGGTGTGCACGGCCATGTGGTGTGTAGGGCCTGGGTAGGCAGGTCCCGTTGGCTGAGTTATCAGTTCCTGCTGCAGACCCCGTTTATCCTGGGCCCACCTGTCCTAACTCCTTGGTCCCTCTCTTCCTGGTCCAGGCCCTGGGAGCGTATTTGTGCTCGACTCGACCTATGCATTCCATATATGTGTATGCACCGCCAGCTGCCTATGCCTGCTGTTAGGTCTGTCTTGTTCAACCCTGCCTTTGCCTTGCTTCAAGAAGCTGCTGGACTCTTCCAGGCTGTCCTGCCTGGCTCAGCCTGGCTTTAGGCCTCTTTTCTCGCTCACACTCCGGTCTCCTGAGCCAACCCAGCACTGCTCAGAACACGCGTGGGGAGTGCCAAGGTCTAATGAGAAAGGACAAGGAGAGCCCAAGGATGGGCAACTGGGAGGGACAGATAGGAAGCCAGCACTTCCTCAGGCGTCCCCCCCACCCCACCCCCCCACCCCACCCCACCCACCCCACCCCACCCACCCCACCCCACCCCACCCCACCCCCACACACCTCTTACCCCGTTTCTGACCCCTGCTAGATCTTGAGCCCCAAAGCTGACCTCACAGCTGAGCGTGGCAGGAAAGGGCAGGGGTGACCAGAGACAGTACCCTTAGGAGATGTAAAGCTAATGAGATTAATTAATCCTGTGCTTCTGGTGTCTGGTGACTCTGGGACCAGCCTTGTCTCCCTGCCCCCACTCAGGTTTCTGGCTCCTCC